ATTTAAATTGAATAAATCATTTGTATCATTAACGAAATAAATTATGAAAATATGAAATTGATTTGGAAATCATGAAATTGGATGGAATTGGGATTAATTGGTGTAGTTGGATTGATGAATCACTCACCTATGGAAAATGTGATAAATTATTTGTTTGATAAATTTACTTATTTGTTTAGAGGTAACTATGTAGGTTATCGGTGGAGCATAGCCATGATTGTTGTAGACACTGCATGATGATTAGGTAAATTGGAACTAATCAATTGGACTATGTCATTGAATGTGACGGTTGGATATAAACATTGAATATGTGGTTTATTTGGTCATTGTATATGACAACGTGTTAAATACATTGCATATGTATCTTTGTGTGGGAGGAGATAAGGGATGTACTCCATTGTGTGGGAGGAGATAGGGGATGGACTCCAATGATAATTAAGTTGGCTAGAGTGTCCAGGGTGAAAGTTAGGCAGGAGATGCCTCTACCGGACGATATTCCGGCACAGCAGGAGGGAGTTGGTCAGGCCAATGTGGCCGAGCCAGCGGGTCAACAGGCTATGAGTGCCTTGGCCAGAGAGATAGCAGGAGCTTTGGGTATTCTCAAAGCGGGGAATCAAGATCAGGCCCACGCAGCTGAAGCAGGGCCTTCCTTCTTGAAGAGGGAATTCTTCCAGTCCAATCTGGACGAGTTTGTTGGGGATTCGAAGGAGCCACTTAAGGCTGACGAGTGGTTGGAACATATGGAGAAGGCGTTCGAGATGCTTGGCATCGAGGACGGGGCTTTAAAAGTGACCTTGGCATCCTTCCAACTGAAGGGAGATGCAGGTCTAGGGTTTCAAAATGTATAAAAGGGGGTTTGTTATTTTGATTCTAAAATGTGTATTTTGGGTTTCAAAATAATGATATTGTTGTTGGTTGTTGATATTTGGACTCTTGGGTCTATATTGGGAAATGGGGTAGAAAACCCTAATCTGTTGTATAAATTAATTGGTATAATTAATTTGGAAAAATTATTGTTATTTGGAATTGAGTTGGAAATAATGAAATTGGCTCATTCTATTGTAGAATGGTAGAGTTGGATTTATTAATCGCTCACTTTTGAAAATATGGATAAATTATCTGTTAACCCATTTATTATCTGTTTAGAAATAATTGCCTTGGGCTACCGGTGGAGAGTAGTCGTGATTGTCGTAGACAATGCATGATGATTAGGCAAACTAAAACTAATCAATGGAAGGTGTCATCGTATATGACAGTTGAAAGAATACATTAACTTTATGTATTGTTTGATAATGTATATAATAATTGTTTATATGCATTGTGTTGTGTGGGAGGAGATAGGAGATGTACTCCACGGTTTAGGGGAAGATAGGGGATGGACCTCTAAACTGGTTAATGTTTGGGAGAAGATAGGGGATGGACTCCGGTGATACAGCTCATATGCTTATCCGTTGAAGTGTTGATATAGCTTATATGCTTATCTATGGAAGTGTTGATATAGCTCATATGCTTATCTATGAAAGTATTGATATAGCTCATATGCTTATCTGTTGAGGTGTTAATATAGCTTGTATGCTTATCTATTGCGAAATGGGAAACGTTTAATATGAATTATTATTTCATTTAGAGTGTGTGGCCAGGTTCTGAGCCATGGGTATGAATTTGGAAATTGGATAAAAAATGGAAAATGAAATGAAACATAGACATAGTGGTCATGTAATGGAAATGGTTTATGAATTGATTTATGGGAGTTAAACATTTATCAATTACTAATGTCTTAGTTACTGCTCATATTGTGTTTAGCTTATCCCTACTGGGCGTTGGCTCACCCTATATGGGACATTATTTTCAGGTACAGGTAGCATGCCATCTCCAAGGACATAGCTTGGATGGTTGTGGGAGTTGAAGGCTCTTTTTGATTATTTTGTTTGTATTACATATGTATCAAGCAAAGGGCTTATTTTGTATAGAGTTAGTACTCTTCTTTTGTGTAGGGCATTTGCTTTTGTTGTTAACATGTAATACTGTTGTAAGAACTACTCTGATGAATGGAAAGGTGTTGATTTTCTTATATTACTGCATGTCTAAATGATAGGTATTATGTATTATTTTGAGGGCGTTACAGTTTTATTTTTCAACTCAAGCTCAACGATATCCCTCAAGAAAACTTCTATTAAAATACTAAGGTAATAGAAATGATCTAGTCTCTGATGGGCTAAAATGGACTGTGCTAGAAATAAAGGTTATTTCATAAGTATTGATTTTGATGATGTCCTTGAATGATTCTTTTCGACACAAAATATGAACAATTATAATTGAACTTCTGCACCTTATTGCTTAAAACTTCATACATCATTTGTTTTCTTGATCTGTGTCGTTTCAAATTCTTCAAAATTTGGCTAACTAGTATTTGATTCAAACTTTGTCCTTAAAGATGTCAAGTATTCTTAAAGAATAAAGAGTGTTTCACATGATTTTATATTGAGTAAGATTCAAAACAAAGTTTAAAAGAATGAATCGCATGTTCATAAAAGTTTATATATTCTCAAAAGATGATTCAAGCTCAAATTTATGCAACCGTGTTTTCACACATGGTTATCCTTTTTTGGTTTTGCACATGGTTATCCTTGATTCAATCATATTGGTGTCCTTTAATAAACATTTCAATAATATTTCAATATTTGATATGAGGCTAAGAACTTAATTAACATGCTTGTGGATCATATACATTTCTTTCACTAAGATTTACATGAGCAAAAACCCGCAAAGGAAGCCACAAGTCAACAAGCCTACAAAGCAAACAACCACTCTGAGAGCATTTTGTGATCCTGAGAGCACATCAATCTCAGTAGGGTCTAGCAATCAACCACTTGGTCGACTAGCTGGCTGACCAACTAGTGTTTCAATCATGTACCCTGCCAACCGCTTATAAGAAAGACATATCACGATCTAATACTCCAACAGCTAGATGTCAATTCATCTAATGGTTAAATGTTATGATCTTAAATATACATGCTCTCATATGAAGATCAATACATTGAAGAAGACAACAAAGTGCCCTGAGCTTTGAACTGTTGAAAACCTAAGTTACTCTAAAATAGCTTTCTTTCTCCCCGTTTGGTACAGCTTATAAGCAACTTAAATCAACTTTTGACTTAAAATAAGTCATTTTGGAGTGTTTGGTTGAGCTTATGAGAGATAGATTATAGTTTAAATTAATTGATTTTGAGCTAAAAGTTGTAAGCTGCCTCAGAGGTGCTTTTTTTTTTTAGCTTATGCGCGCAGCTAGTTAAAATGACTTAAATGCCCCTTCAAAAATTCAGAAATTACCAAAATGCCACTATATAAAATTGACATTCAATCGCTGTTCATGTCGAGAGAAAGAGAGAGAGAGAGAGCCTGAGAGGCGATTTCCGACGACTATTTCCGGCTATCTCTCTCTCTATTTCCGACTATTTCTAGAGACATTCAAACACTGTTCTCTCTCTATCTCTCTGTCTCTCTCTCTCCGGCGTTGGTTTGTCACCATCGCGATCTGTCTCTGAACCATCACCATCGCGATCTGTCTTTGAACCATCGCGATCTCTCTCTCTCTCTCTCTCTCTCTCTCTCTCTCTATGTGTGTGTGTGTGTACCTCCACCGTCGTCTCCCATCTCCCTTTGCGATCAGCCGTGCGAGGCAATCTCAAACCCTATCGCCGGTTCATCGCTGCCCAGCCTGCCGGAGCTAGGGTTTTAGAATTTTGTGTGTGCGTATGTGTGTGTGTAGAGGTTTATTTTTTTAATCAAAAAAAAAATATAATTATTACGCATTTTAGCTATGAATGAAATAAATTTTATATTAATTGAAAAAATGAAATAATTTTATACTAATTGATTTATAATGAAAAAATGGAAATAATAATCTATATGAAAAAATGAAAATAAGTCATTAATTGACACTAATTAATTAATTGAAAAAATGAAATAATTTTTTACTAATTGATTTATAATAAAAAAAATGGAAATAATAATCTATATGAAAAAAATGAAAATAAGCCATTAATTGACACTAATTAATTAATTGAAAAAATGAAATAATTTTATACTAATTGATTTATAATGAAAAATTGGAAATAATCATTTATAACGAAAAAATGAAAATAAGCCACTAATTGACAGTAATTAATTTATAATGAAAAAAGAAAATAATTTATACTAATTGATTTATAATGAAAAAATGAAAATAATAATTTATGTAATACTAATTATATTAACTTTATTAATGAAATAATTTTTTTTTCTAAAACTAAAACTGAAAAAAATGAAAAAATAATATAAGGGTAAGAAGGACAATTATACATCAAAAAATTATTTTACAGCTTATCAACAAAACACTACTCTGCTGTTTAAATTCATAATCCCACAGGTGCACCAAACAGGTTAACGGCTTATGTTCACAGCTATAAGTTATAATCTGTTAAGTTATAATCCACAATCACTTTTCCACCGTTCTACCAAACGGGACCTTTGTCTGTACTTCATTGTTGAAATCACTTAATTTGTTGCACACAAACATTTTGTATATATGTGCTAGTACAGACACGTCTGACAAAAAGGTAATTAAAATAGTAGATGACACGATATGTAAGAATACATACACAATATATAATTTAATATATTTATTATATATTATGTATATGTATATATAAATATGGATATTTCATTAAAATTAGAGAGATTAGACGTATAGATTTATATTTTTTTGGTTTTATCATTGTATTTTAAGTTTTTCTTGTTCAAACTTGTCTGGATCAAAAAACTTTAAAAACATAATACAACATGACATGTTTTGTATGAAGTGTTTGATGTGTCCGACAAGTACACACCACCTTCTTAGAAGTATAAATACTTCTTGGGCCTTATTACACAAGCATTAGCAATGTTTCAATTCAAAGTACAAGGATGGAAAAGTTTACTTAAGCTGACCCTTTCATTGTTGCATCAATTAGTCTGTTATCTACAGTACAGTAACCATGATTATAAACAAACAAGAGAGTAACTTAATCTGCTTGGAAATTAATTTCCTGCATTAGTAGAGAGAGTAACTATATTGATTGCTGAGCCAAGAAATTAACCATATGCATAGTCATTGCATTCAAAAACCATATGAAACCCTAATATGGTGTTTTACAGCCATATGAGAGTGCAGTGATGCAAGAATAAAGGATCTATGTTAGCTGCGAAATAGTTAATCACTTGATGCTTATGTATATAGTCATTGCACTCATAAACCAGTATAATAAGGATTGGGGAAGGGGTAACCAACTTGATAGCCCTCTCAATTTATAGTTCAATCATCTCTCTCTATATCATGAGAACGTTCCATTAAGCACCTGTACATAACAAGGTAAATTAAGGGATCATCTTGAAATCACATAAAATATATAAATTTACAGGTCAAATTACAAAATGTACAGCTTAGAAATGTATTCACATCTTGCTGCAGACCTTTTATGAAGGGCAGAACAACTGAGATTAACTCAGCTTGATGTTTAGTGTATACATGATTGGCTTCTTCAATGATGTGTAATTTATGGTTAGGTATGATCTTGGCAAACTCCGAGGCATCTTCAACCGGAACTATTTCATCAGCAGATCCATGGATAGTCAACACCCTACGCATACAATACCCGCCACATACATGAAACATGAAATATATTAAATATGTTATAGATCATGAAAATACAGTTGCTGATGAATCAATGAAATGAGCTATCAATCAAGCTAAAGAGCATACGCCCATTTTAGATCCATATCATATCAGAAAGTGTAGCTAAAAACTCAATGTACTTGATTTTTTTTATCGCAACAAGTAAATTCAATGAACATGAATAAACAACTAAAGTTTTTTAGCTAAGTCTGTCACAGAACTTATTCATGGCAATAGCTTTATTTCAACAACTTGCCGTGTATTTTGAGTCATGTGAACAAAGGTCATTCCATTATCCAACAAAAATTGATATAAGCCTTCTTTGATGCAAAAGATCATTATGAGGATTCATAATTGGCTTCTAATATGGTTGTGTTAAATGTAGCCTATGATGAAACACCTCATAAATGCAGAGAATGAATATACGTATGTTGAGATCTATACTCGGCAAGGCCAGAAAGAATAAGGTTTAAAGAAAATTGCATGCCAGGATAAAATTATTGTAGAAACAATTGAGAATTGGACAAATAAAACTAAATGGGTGGGACGTGCAACAAAGATTCCAAGGTTACAAAGTTGTACTACCAATGAAACACCTCATAAATGCGAAGAATGAATATACGTATGTTGAGATCTATACTCAGCAAGGCCGGAAAGAATAAGGTTTAAAGAAAATTGCATGCTAGGATAAAATTATTGTAGAAACAATTGAGAATTGGACAAATAAAACTAAATGGGTGGGACGTGCAACAAAGATTCCAAGGTTATAAAGTTGTACCACCAAGAACAACGCAGTCCCAATTACATATAACAAATGGACTGTTGAAAGATGGGATATGTAGCTCGCCTCTTTCGCGTCCCCTTTCGAAAGGTTTGAAAAGAAAGGCCTCACAGTTTGGACTCCCGCGGTTCTGAATCTAGTCTCACAAGTGCAATGTGAAACTGATAAACACCAAAGAGTCCAAATTTGGCAAATCTTTTTAGAAAATCGATTTAAAATCAAATAATACCAAAATTGGACTGTTTTGCCAGATACAGAGTCGCCACCTAAATATTTTTTATTTTGGAAAAATTTAGAAAACTTTGACTTGTGCCAAAGGCCACATGTCCGTCATCACCAAAGTTGCCTCGGCTCGAGAACTTGGATACGAAGGGGGAAGGTCATGAATTAAGCACCCTCGCTCACCCGATCAAAAGATCGGCATCTACTAATCATGATATGATTTTTATGTACATTATGTACTCTTATTCCGGTTATTAGACTAGCTTTATTATGTGATGCGCACAAGCAAGTATAGACTAGTTTGCTCAATTTGGAACAATTCAACTCATGTTTGTTTGCGAAAATAGTTTGAATTTGCCACTTCAAGTGGGCTTAAAAGTTACGGATTTGCCACTAAACATAGTGAGCTTAAAACATGATTTGCCACTCAACAAAGTAGGCTTAAAACTTATATTCATTGAATTTTTTCAATTTAAACAACAAGCCTTCATCCACAGACATTCATGCAGTTTATGAAGTAAGCACATAGTCTCATGGCAAGCATGCTAATATGGCAACATTCACACTTATGCAAGTATGCTAAAGCAAACTCACCGAGTTCTCTAAGCCAAAAGAGAAACTAGTTAGAAAGATGCATGATCCTAATTATGTTAAGTGTCTAATGCAACACATGCAATATGCAATTTTAATAGGCTCGACTACTAATATGGCATATGGATCGATTTGATAACATGCGATTAAACACGTATTCAAAGAAGTATTGAAATAGCAATGCAGTTTGAATGATATGCCGAGCCTCGGTGCATGCAAGACAAGATGAATGGATGTAAGCATGCGATATGCTAATTGAAACATGACCCTAATCTAACCATAGAAAAAATGATTAATAAAAAGGAGAAAGACATATACACACACGCATACTTATTACAACATTACGCCCTCGTGAAGGAGGGTCTGAATGAATAAGAGCTAAGCTAGTCTAAGCTAAGTTAATCTAATTAAGCTAATTAGACTAAATATTACAAACCAAATGAATAACTAGCTAAGCTAATTACTAATTATTACAACACTTTAACTAACTAGTAAACTAATTAGTTAATTTACAACACAAATGTACACGAACTAAGCATGTAAGACATTAAACTATGCTGCCACTACTCCGCCTCGGGAAGTGATAGATGCACATGCTCGGTTTTGGCCCGAAAAGACCTCTGTTTTGCTCTCAGAAGCCTCTGTTTGCAAGGTTGAGAATTTCCAGAATCTTTCTGCTTCATCTTACCAAAATCAACTGAGCTTCACATCAATGACCTGCCGGCCATGGATGAATGTTGCCAGCCCTTTGCCGGCCAAAAAGGTGTACTGTCGGCCATAGATGGTGGCCTGCCGGCCACTGATGCATTGGATCGCCATGCTACAGCAGAGCACAAGCAGAGCAAAAGGGGAGGGGGGGTTTCCAAGAGTTGTCTGCACACTTTGCCTTTCCTTTTCATGGGGAAATCAAAAGAGGGACAAAATTTGGTTCATAAACCATCAATCAAGCAATTTCATTGCATGATGGCTTGTGAAACCAATTGTGCAAGTTTAATAAATGCAAGATAAGACCAAAATGACCATCCCCCTATCATGCATGATCAAGGGCAATGGAGACCTAGGAAAATGGCACATTTCATCACTTTTGAGTATGAAATATCCCATTTTCCTTGTGCTCAAACTAACGTCCGATTTGAACACATGCAATGCAATACAAAGAGATACTTATCTTGCCTCTTTTACTTGCCAATTTTGTTTACACATTTTAATTACCAAATCATATTTTAATCCATTAAGTCTATTGGTGAGTGTCCTCTAATGGAAAGATGGCTCAAACCACAAGTTGCTTTGGGTATGAAAGAGGCATTACATTGTTGGTAATGAATCCCTTAAGGAATTAAACCATTGGGTGTAGCACCTCCATTTCACACTAAGGGAAACAAGTGGTTTGAAGCCACTTTCAAAGCAAAAATAAAATCAAGAAAAGAAGGAGGTTGCAGAAACGATTAAGTGCTAGAAATGAGTGATAAAAGCACTAAAACATGCAACCGACTCAAACCAATGGTCGTTGAAGCCTTAAAACACTAAGCTAGTGAAGGAACTTACACTACGCTAGTGAAGGAACTTACACTACAACCATGCCATACAAGGCTTAAAAGGGACCAAACAGCCAAAACAGTTCAAAACAGAGTGTAAAACATGCTGGACTTGAGCCACAAAAAGCTAAAACATTAAGCTAATACGTAGGGCTGACTAGGCATGCAAACAAAACACAAGGAGGGGAGGCAAACCCCTCAAATTTTGGACTTCAAAATGAGTTTTTTACCACTGAAAAATCTCTGAAATTCAATGGTTAAAAGGCCCAAAAAAGTTGGTTTGAAAGTAGTGAACAAAGGTACAAAAACTTTACAAACAAAGAAGCAAGAAGGGTAAACCACCCCCTAATTGAAAATAGCCTCAAACCACGACTTTTAGGCCACAAAAACAGAGTTTTTGACAGTTCAAAACCAGCCCCAAAACAGTTGAAAAAGATTGCAAAGCAAGTGTGCAAAACAAGTATAGAAGGAGAGTGTTATACCTCTTGAAGGGAAGACACAAATGAGGCAATAAACCAAGCCAAGACCACCTTTTAGAGCTCAAAGAGGGTCTCAAATAACCTCAGCCCAAAGATAAGCAACTTTGGTTAAGGGTTGATAGGCAAACTTGAAGTGTATGTAGGTTAATTTGCAAAAACCTACAAGAGTGTGAGAGAAATGTAGAGAGAGAGAGACTCCCAAAATTTTTCTAACCTTGAAAACAATAGAGAAGGTCCTCTATATATAGAAAAATGTGAGTTTTGATCGAAAATATCATAAAATGGACAGCTGGAACTTTGTGCAAACAGCTGGAGGTAAATATCTGCACAAAAAATTGATTTTTGACACCAGTGGCCGACAAGCTTCATCCATGGCCGGCAAACATCATCCATGGTCGGAATGGGGCAGGAAAACTTCACCTATGGCCGGCATGGGGCCGGCAAGCCACATCAGTGGCCAAAAACTACTTTTCGGGCCCGATTTCAAATGGGCATATCTCCTTCATCCGGACTCCTTTGCAGGTCATTCTTGAGTCTAAATTGAAGCCCCGAAAGTCTACTTTCCAACGGTGATAGCCTCACATCAAAATTCCAAGTGTGCAAAAAGATATGCCTATTTTAGTAAAGACTACTCAGTTTTAGTCCTAACCGGATTGATGCCTAACTTCTCCTCAACTAGTTTTCTTCCCTCCTCTCCTATTTTCTTCAACTCCAAACCTCTAAATAAGGTGTTTTGAAATTTTTATCAAAGAGTTCACCTCTCTTCCATTTATTTCCACTTTGCCCTTGCTCGGTTTACCGAAAAGTGCAACATTTAACGAAATGCGAGCTTCGGAACATCATAGAAATATTTGGCAAAAATATTTTGAAAGAGAGGGTTTTAAAGCCTAAAATAATTTTGGTCAAAAATAGTTTTTGTCCAAAAATAAGGTGTAAGGTTGAGGTTTGAAGCTCCTCTTGCCGAAGGAATCAAACTTTTGCATAGCACAACTTTCATTACCGAGCAATCAACCTGGGGCGCCCAAGTCTTAAGGGCGGTAAAAAATGGGGTGTCTACAGGATGACAAGTCAATGATGTGAGCCCGTGACAAAAAGACATTAAGCCCCACAGGATGACAAGTCAATGATGTGAGCCCGTGACAAAAAGACATTAAGCCCCAGGACTTGAAAGTACATGGACACTGGAAAAAATTGTGTGGACAGTCAACTACTAGATCAAATAAGGATTCTTATTTTTAGATCCCCAACTTTATAACAGATCCTTCTGTTTTACAACATCTAGATTGATAAACTTGGGCATTAAACAGACGTACAAAATACTTGATAGATCAACAAATTTCATTCAATCTTTCTACTGAGCTATTGCCAGCAAAAATTGCAAAATTATGAAAAAGCAGACTTCTCATTCTAGATTTTTCCCTATTACATGTTATCAATATGATAAATCAAAACTGCATAAATATAGATTCAATAAAATGAAGCTGACTTCCTTCTGACCTGCAATTTTTGTCAATCTTAAGGCATGCATCATGCATCTTTGTATTTAGGCAATCCATCAAACTTTCCTCAGTCACTCGAAAGAGAACTTCTCCTACACAATGCCATTGTCTAACCATCAAACACATATAGTAAAATATAGCTTCATGCCAACCAATATCCATACATGATTTGTATTGATCCATATGCTAATTTGTCATGATCATGATTGTCTCCAAGTTTTATAAGCAAACATAACTAACTTTTTCTTGTCCCAAAGAATCAGAAATGCTAGATAGGCATGTAGGATGTGGATTCCATCATTAATAGAAGGGTCAGCACACTGATGATGGTTGTTGGCTGACTCAATCTTGCAAAGAATATATTTTGTCTTTTATTGAAAAAAAAAATGAAAAAGTGATACCAAAAAAGTGAAAGATAAATCCATTTAGGCACAAAATGAAAGGACAACCTGCAATCCAAGTAGGCGGGCGGGACAGGTGATGGAGCTACATATATATTTAATTGCTAGTCCCTAGGAAACACAAATTAATAATGTAAACATCCGATGATCCCAATTACATTTTTTAATGGAAAGAAAAGCAAATAGGTTGTTTGAATTTCCTATGTTTAGCCAAAAGAAAATCATCAAAACTAGTATAATTGGCTAAAGAAACAAAATCATATGACATGCAAACAATGACTAAACTGTAAGTAAACATGCGAGAACATGATGATAAAGCATATCAAACCCATTAATAACAAGGAGAAGTGAAAAACAAACAGCAAAATAATGTGCACAATGAATGTGAACTAATACATTACCTTTTTTATTTTCAACATCCAAATATCCCTCCTTCTTGGTTCTTTCAATGAAGTCTTTACCAAAGTGTTCTTCAATGCCCTTCTCCAAATTATAACCACCAGAAACATTGACAACTGTGTGGATATCATGATACTTTGATGCATACAGGCGCACCACATTTCCTCCTGTAAAAATTGATCTCAGTGAGAGCAGTTTGTAGGGAGAAAAGAATTTGCAATGGGCTTTAATGCTTGTGAGAAAAAGTCCAAAAATAAGCAGAGCCTAAGAAGCACAGGCACGGATACGGATATGGATACGGATGCGGATGTGGACACGGACACGGACACGGACACGGATACGGATGTGCACACAGGACACGGCAATTTCAAAAAAATGAAGACATGGACACATACACAGTGGGGACACGGCAATAAAATATGTTTTCATATATTTTTATTTGCTATCTAGATAAATATTACATCCACAAACAATCAATATTAACAAAAAATAACTCTAATTCTTTTTTTTTATTTTATTTAAAAAAGTACTTTTAAATTAACACTTACAGTTTATATATATATATATATATATTTATAGATGATCTATTAAGTATTAAAATCTAAGAAAAAAAATAATAAACATTCAACATTCATCAAAAGCACTAAATAAAATGGGAGAAAAGACAACTTGGCATGTCCCTAGTGTGTCCCTAAAGTGTCCTCGAGGTGTCCTCTGAAAATAAATTAATTAAATAAGGGGAAATGTGTCCCCGAAGTGTTCACGTGTCCCCGAAGTGTCCGTGTGTCCGACACGGATACAGCACTTGCTTTGAAGGGTCAGTGCTTCATAGAGCAGAGCTAAAAATCAATAGCACAGTGCAACACTATTCTGCACATCTTTTATTGTTTATAAATCAAGATTCAATTTTTCTCTTTACAAATTCTGCACCTGTGATCTAGTCTTGAATAATAGGCCAGATATAGGCAGTGCAACTACATTTCAGTGGAGATCTGATCCATGAATTGTGAGTGGAACCAACACTATCATTTCGATTAAAGACTCCCAATTAAAAAAATTAAAAAAACATGTTTGTAAGTAACATTTGAAGCATAGTTGAAATACAATCCTAAATGTTGGATGATTCAAAACTCTCATGGAAAAACAATTTATGTAGCTGATCCCATCTGATTGAGACACAAAACTTAGTTTGGTTTGGTTTGATTAGCGTTGATCCAAACTCCCTAGGGCTAATTTGAGGCAGTATGCCCCACTTTATTCTCAATTTAGGACAACACTTCACAGATTCAATAATTCTATTTCTTGTGGGTCTTATGTATGCCTCTCCTTAAATTAATGATTGCCCTTAAGCGGAAAATCATTGATCCTCTTTTCGTGCATGTGCCATTACAATAGCTGCTTGCTAGTGCTGCCAAACATTAAATAATTACGTTGTGCAAATGGAAAGCATCAGAATTAACTATGTTTGAAAAGGTAAAAAATTGCTCAAATTCCAAAAAGTCCTGCTAGAATTTGTGAACAGTATGATTTTCTTCTTCCACAAAAAAAAGAAAAAGAAAAAGAAAAAGAAAAAGAATTATAGTACTGTGTAGGACTGCAGTTCACAGACTCAATAACGCTACCCAACATTAAATATTTGGCAGCTTTGTAAGCTAGTAGATTAAAAGTCTAAAAGAGTGGAAGGAAGGTCTTAGGCTGTGAGCAGACAGAAACTTTTGGAATTAGTTAGGTTTTAATGGTGATAAATTGCCAAGATTCAGAGATTCCTACTAGAATTTTTGAAAAGTACGATTTTCATTTTTTTTTTCCCCCCAAAAAAGAAAAGGTTGGATAGGGTAAGGGCATGGTTTGGAAAAATTGAGCTTTTAGGCTTATAATTTTTTTTTTATTTAAATATGGATTAATAGCAATCAATTTTGGAGGGGGGGGGATCTTATTGCAGAGAACTAGAGAGAATATGAGTATTTTAAGCATTTTAAGCATCACCTCTAGATCCCTAAGACATCATAGCCAGGGTTAGAATCAAAACACAGACCCCTCAAAGAGTATAATTTGTGAAACTATTGCATAGTAACAGATCGTACAAATACTAATAAATATCATGTGAAAAGACCTAATAAAATAATGAGACTCCAAGACAGACCTATGGACTACCACTACAATCCAAGCACATAATATATTTAACTTACCAAAATACACCAAACTACTAAAGTTGACTCAACTACAATGAAAAACACAAGACCAACAGTACTAACCTCTAATTGAAAAATATGACTCATTAGGAATCTAGCCTTCTAGAATTTTTTGTTCAGCCTATTATAAACAGCATTAATTCTTATGAACAGAGAACCATTTTAAGCTCAACGGTCCATTGAGCAGTGAAATTGGTAGGTTGAATATTTAGTACAAGAGAACACACCTTTACTATGACCAAGAATTGCACTTGTTACACGGCTTGCTCCATTGAAGTGTTGGATAATGGCACGCAAATCTTTAGCTTCTCTCCAATAGTAACCAAATTGAAAGGAACCTTCACTTTCCCTGTCAATAGTCACTAGTACATAGTTATTTAAGCAACCACGAAGTGAAATACACAACTACATGATGCTCAAGAAAGATATTTAGAACTAGAACCAACAAAAAGAAAAATTTAAGCTAGTACAAAAACTAGACCATATACAAGAAGTGAAGTTGGGACAAACTAGATTGTTCATTGTTCGGCCTATTCCCAACAACTTGCATTTGGAGCAACTCGTCGTCACCTTAGATGGAATCGAGGGTTTAGTTCTATGAGATCTTAAGTTCAAAACTTTCCATATGTTTATGTTCCTTCTCAGAAACCCCCCCCAAAAAAAAATTATATTCATCATTATGCACTCTATCCCATGTGAGTTTGTCCACCAGTTTAGTTCAGTTTAGTTTGTGTTTAAAATGTCAATTCATGAGCAAGAGGGAATCATGTGTGATGCATGGTGAGAGAGGCTAGTATATGTTTTTGGACCCATTTCATAAGTTTTTGTAGCAATTAACCAACAAGTGAGATATCAAAGTAACGGAGATCCAACCCCAAGAATAATATAAATTATTGAACAACAAAATTAAAGGAAAGAAAATGTTCATAAAAAAAGAATAAGAAGAATCCCAAACCAATAACGTATAAAGGACTTATAAGATTCCAAGGTTGTAAAGTTCAAAGGGCTTTTATGATTCCATGGTTAATACATAAGAAGCATGGACACGGACACATGACATGACACAGACACGCCAATTTTCAAAAAATGCAGAACACAACACGTGGGAGACACGCATAAAATATATAATTTTATATATTTATTATATGTTATATATATGAATCTATCATTCAAAGATAATAAAAAATGTAATATGACAGTCTATAAAGCACCAACACGTCCCCAGGGCTTGCGCATGAGTGTCAGACACGCAGTGGACACGTGTCCGACACTCTCTCTAACGTGTCCTCTTTTTTTTTTTTGAATTTTTGCAGTCAAACACGCCATGGACACTCTGTGACACTTTCCGAACATGCATAAGGACAATCGAAGCCCTAACTATTGGAGAGAAAGAGAGAAAGAGAAATAGAGACAGAAAGAAATCGAGGGAGGAGAGAAGACAGAGACAGAGAAAGAAATTGAGGGAGGAGAGGAGAGGAGAGGAGCCCTAACCTATTCAGATCAATTGAAGAAGCTGAGGTATTCTTCATCTGCTCTCTTCTTCTTTGCCTCCTCTTCTTCGTCTTCTATCTCCTTCATCTCCTCCCTTTTCTTCAACTTCTCCTATTCTCTCTCTCTCTCTCTCTATTTCTCTCCTCCTTTATTTTCTTCCCTCTTTTTTTTTTTTTCTTTCTTTTATCCTTATTTTTATTAAACCTAAAATTCATAAAATAAATTATTTTTATTTAAAAAAACTCATTTTTTATTAAAAAAATTTAAAAAATATGTTCATTAATTTTTTTATAATTGTATAAAAATTAATAATTTTCTTTTTATTTTAGACATATAATAAATAAATAAAATTATATATATTAAACATGTCCCCAGTGTGTCGTGTCCCCCATTTTTTTAAAATTTGCGTGTCCCTGTGTCTGTGTCGTGTCCCATATCCGTGTCCGTGCTTCATAGATGACAGTAATTCTTATAAATTTATATGATTTTTATTTTATTATTGTATCCTAAGTTGTTTTGTTCAAATTTATAATTAGTTTCACCTGTGTCTAATCGATAAATGCATGTGTTTAAGTGATAGACACGTGTGTCCTTCAACTGTCCAAGGAGTGTCCAGGTCTTTAAAAAAAATTAAAAAAATAGGACGCGTTTTGAAGAGTGTCAAACACGTGTCGAGGAAGTGTCCAAAGAGTGTCAATGTCTGACACAGACACAACACGGATACGTTACCTTCTTAGAAGTGTCCATACTTCTTAGGTTAATACTCAACCATTAGCAAGCAATTCACAACGGAAGCTGCTAAAACAACTCACCCCTCAAAGTTCTAGGAAGTAATTTATATACTTTTTAGATAGTTAATGAGATTCAAATCTTGTTATCCACTGCACAATAGCTCCCATATTACTATTGGACCCAAACACCAATTAGGAAGTACATACTTTAATAAACGGATTGCATCTCCAAGGATATTGAAGAAGAGACAAATGCGCAATGTTTGACACACTCCATATAATGATGTCATCTACCTACTTTTGAACTTCTATTGCTTTTCTAACATGAAATAGAGAGGACAAGGGCATCCCAATTGTACAAACTTCACGCATAAGACATATCTCACATGCCAACTCATTACATTATGTTCTTGCCTTCAATTCGTGTAATACCACATCATAGTTGGGCCAATCCCCTGACAACCTAAGCTACGGCGATAACAAAAAATCAAATTACATGGTATAAAAGCTTCAATCTCAGGAGGTCCTTAATTCAAGTCCCGTCATCTTTGTTATCAGAATCATACGATTCGAAGATTCAGTTCATGATTTGATTCACGATTCATGCATAGATCGATACAAATCTATGGGTGAATCTATTTTTGGCAGGATCTATTCACTATCGATTCATAATTCTATTCACCTTTTACAATTCATTCAACTCTTGAAATTATCGTGTTTGATATACTCTTACCATTTTTTTTTACATTTTTTTTTTCTCCAGAAAATAATTCTAAGAGTATTTAGTACAAAAGTAATCAATACCTATGCATGATTTGTGTGACAAGAGGGTTTTTAACTAGATGCAATAGTTCTACAATAGTTCCTTTATAGTCTTTCTTCTTTTCTTTTCTTTTTTTTTTAACAATAAATAAGCATACATATCTTTTAAAGTGTTTTATGTTTTAAAATAAATTATTCCACTTAATTATTTTTTCGTATTATACTCTATATCGAATTGTTAGGTCCATTTTTAAAATGTCAAGAGAGATTATATTATAGTTTTTCAATAATTTTATTGTTGTTATGATTTGCACTGACTTCTCTTGTTACAAAGGAAATGCCTTCCTCACTTCCAATCAGACGGTTTAAACATGTCCTTATAGGAGAACTATTTCATAGCATGTATCAAAATCAATTTATTTCATATATATGATTATTCAAAATTGTTTTTATAGTTTGTATTGAATCATAATGATTCTCAATTCACAAAATTAAGATTTTGATTCACGATATGATTCTCCATTTGACAGCTATGCCCATAATATTTGTTTGTTCCCCGACTATATTTGTAGTGTACTCTATTTCATGTGTGTTTGTGCAACCCTATTTAGTGTTAATTAGTACCTTCACTTGTAACAAAGGACTGCACTTGAAGGAGGGTGTGAGAGTTTGATTTCATTCTTAGGTCCATTCCTTAATAACGTAACCTCTCAGGGAAACTACAAGGCACTAAATCGAAACTAGAATCAACATCAATGCAATAAAGTTGGCACGTTGTTTCAATCACCATGAAGTGTTTCTCATGAAATTATTGGCATGTGTTTTGCTAACACAATGATATATACGAATTCAACCTCTTGTAAATGGAGCTACAAGTTGTAAATCGAAATTGTGGAGATTAACACATTTGTGCCTAGACAAGGATGAATAAGCCAAATTCTCAAACAAATTACCAATTAAAACTTACCAAGTGGATTATTTAAATTTATTCAATTTCCAATTTCCAATTATCAATCATATGCCATACATATCAATATTGTAGTCAATAATAAAAATAAACATGATAATAGACACAATGATATATGTTAGTCCTAGAGTCCTTGTGTCTAGGTGTTTGGCAATTCTATTTGGACAAACACTTTTTTGCTTTAATACTTTAGGTTCTGTGTTGGTTTTTATTTGAGATGAATCCACATGTTCTGGACCTAAGGCTAAGTGTATTGGAGTCCAAGACTTGCCAAGTTGCTAGCATGGCAAATTTGTTGAAGTGACTGCTCGAGCCATGAAGTGTCTACTCAAGCAATCAAGATCGGTCACGTCACTTTTTCTTGCGCGATGTGATCCAATATTAGGGCTAACTGACTGGGGCTTCTCTCTCTATGCATGAAAATTAGATCTAAGCTTATGGGGGGGGGGGGGGGGGGGGTGAGAGAACTTCAATTCCCTAAAGAAATTGAGAGATTTATGGATCCTTGGTGATTGATTGAACTCTTCGAGGGTGACTAAACGTCAAATCTTTCATACTTTTATCTTGGAAGTCCTTTGATGTTTCCCAAAGGCAATTTGGGTGTTTGTCAGTGGATTCCGGCAAGATCATTGATGGATTCTGACAAGGTGTCTCAAGGTGAGGGATATCAAGTTCTAGGAGTGATGAACTTGGACTTGGCAAGGTGTCTTAGATCCGAGAGATGTGGATTCATCTAAGGGGTTGTAAGCTAGCTCTTCTAATCACTGATCTTTATAGTACTTGATTTTTTTCCACAATTGAAGAAATTCAATTGTAATTTTCCACGTTAAAATTGTTTTCCCCTTTTGTGTTTGATTGCTTACATCTTATAGCAATTGTGTGATGGATTTGGTTCATTGCACATCTCTAGATTTAGGCTTTTAATTGAATCAACACTATTTTGATTAATCATAGTTCCTTGAATTGGTTGTTTGGATCCTTAAGCAAATCCATAGTTGTGCTTCACTAGGGATTTCAATTGGTATTAAGAGCAAGCACTCTTCAAATAGTATGTTTTATTTGAGTGTTGATTCTTTGAATTGCAAACATGGATATGCATAAGGATCATGTATTCATGCCTATCATGTTAGATATCACGAAATATGTTGATTGAAAGGTTAGAATGAGAGCTTACTTGAAGTCTATTGATAGTAAGGTTTGGCTTTCTGTGGTCAACGGCTAAAAAGCATTTACTGTTCTTGTCAATGATGTGACTATGCATATACCTATTGAAAAATGAGATAAAACAAATTTTCAAAATGAGAATTGGAATAGCAAAGCTCTTCATAGCATTTCTTTATTTGTGTCAATATGGAAGAATTTAGGTATATCTCTACTTGTGAGGCAGCTAAAGATGCT